TGTGTGTGTGTGTGTGTGTGTGTGTGTGTGTGTGTGTGTGTGTGTGTGTGTGTAATTAAAGCCTTTTTACATTTAGACTAGGGGCAGACTTAGGGATGCATGCTCAATCTTAACTTGGAGACTTTCTCAGTTTGGATGTTTGAATTGTTCTTTTAACATTTCTGATTGCTAGAATTTGAACCACACATGAAATAATAGCTCTATCCTAGGATGTAAGCTTAGATGTTCCCTGTCACAGTTGTGGAGGTAAATTACACTTCTACACACTCCATGATCTCCTGAAGTACTCCCCCTTAACACTCAGGATTCCAGCAATCTCCTCTCTACGGGCAAGGACCTGTGGCTCTCTCCGTCCAGACAGAGGATTTAGACTTGTATTCCTCCTGAAGTTCACTGTGTTTATCCGTGTGACGGCGCGTTGGGGGTCCCCCGTCTCCTGCACCCCGAAATGGCGCACACAGACTGCACCAGCCGGTGGAATAAAGGAAGTTTATTGCCTCTCCAGGATACAGCACAGATGGAATCTGGTCACAGAGCTGGGCTAGGATGCCTCAGGCCCCCTTGAGGTGGGGGAAGACTGGGCCCCTAAACTCCAGCCCCTTTCCCTAGGCTGTCTCCTCAATGCTCCAGACCGAAACTAACCTCCCTCTCCTCCAGCCCTGCCCCCCATCCAGGGCAGCCTCCACCTTCCTTTGTTCCTCTCCATGGGGGGTGTCTGGTTCAACAAGTTTGGCATCACCTTTGCATAGTGAGGTTTTCCCTGCTGGGTCTTGCTCCAGACAGCAGAGGTCACCACAGCCCAGCAAGTACCCCCACTACGTCACATATTCCTCCTGAAGTGCACTGTGTTTATCCTAGCAGGTATGATCTTAGTTCAGAACTTGTGGTTCACTCTCACTCAAGGTTACCAAGTGGCAGGATTGCCAGTGACTCACCTGCTTTCACAGAACATAATATATTTATCTCTGGCATTACAGAGGAAATACAGTATAAGCCAATAAACAGTTTATATCAAATGCTAAGCTTGTCAGATATCATCAGTCTGCAACATGGAAACCCTGATAGGTTTCCAAAATCTTTCAAATCCTTACAACAAAGTTTTGCCTCCTTGGTTATAATTTCATGGCAGTTTGAGCATCAAAGAGGATCACTGACTCAGTTCAGCCTCCCCCTTTATACCAAAAGTTCCTTCTTTGTCTACTGTGCCAGTTGAACCTGGTGTGAATGAGTATATACAATTCACCCAAGAAGTAGTACTTATCTTGAGTTGTTAGCTTGTCCTGGGATCTCCCACCCTTCTCTGTAGTTAGAATACCATCTCTAGCTCACAAAGATAGAGATATATTATCTATATGAATATGTATGTGTAGATACAAAAGTCTGAACTTTTTTTTTTTGAGATTGGGAGACCAGAATATGTATGTGTAGATACAAAAGTCTGAACTTTATTTTATTTTATTTTTTTTTGAGATTGGGAGACCCCATCTGCCCACACTATTCAAGGTGCTGGCATACTATGGATTTATATAGAAGCTATGATATTTTCTGCCTTTTAATGATTCCCAAAATTGTTTGCTTTTTTTGACTACTGCTGCACGTTGAATAGATGTTTTCAGAGAACTATCCACAATGACTCCAAGATCTCTGTCTTGATTGGTAACAATTAGTTAAGACCACATCAAATATGTGGTATATGTATAGTTGTTTGTTTGTTTGTTTGTTTGTTTGTTTGTTTGTTTTCCATTATGCTTTACTTTGCATTTATCAACATTGAATTTAATCTGCCATTTTGTTGTCCAGTTACCAGTTTTGTGAGATTCTTCCAAAGCTCTTCATAGTTAACTCCACAGCAGTATCAACATTGAATTTAATCTGCCATTTTGTTGTCCAGTTACCAGTTTTGTGAGATTCTTCCAAAGCTCTTCATAGTCTGCTGTGGAGTTAACTATCTTAAGCAATTTTGAATCTGTAAATTTTACCAACTCACTGATTGCCACCTTCCCCAGATCATTTCTGAATATGTTGAATAGGATAAGTCCCAGTACTAGTTACCTGTCTCTTTTCTGAAAACTGACTATTCTTACCCATTGTTTCCTATCTCTTAACCTATGAGAGGACCTTATCTCTTATCCCAAGACTGCTAACTTTACTTAAGAGCTTTTGGTGAAGGATCTTGTCAAAGGTTTTCTGGAAATCTAAGTACACTATATCCACTGGATTCCTCTTGTCCATGTGCTTGTTAATCCCCTTGAAATAATTCTAGTAAATTGGTAAAGCATGTTTTCTCATTAGAAAAATCATATTAACACTCCCCAATAAATTATATTCATATATGTGTTTCACAATTCTATTTTTTAATGTAGTTTCAACAAGTTTGCCTGGTACTGAAATTAGACTTACTGGCTTGTAAGTGCCAGGATACCTGGTACTGAAATTAGACTTACTGGTTTGTAAGTGCCAGGATAAACTCTGGAACCCTTTTTAAAAATTGGTGTGTCAGAGTAGAACTTCTCTACTGACAATTTCTTGAGCAAATATTTTATATAGGAGAAATAGCTCATTTCCTGGTACAGTCAGAAGAATGCCTAAGAAACATAGGCCAGGACATTTAGCAATGTAAGAGTATTGTTACACTGGGGAATCAAGAATGCTGTCTGACTTATTAAAGAGATTATTAGTTTTAAATTCTATTTTTTTCATGTTCAAACTGACATTAGAGAAGAAAATGGATCTAACTCTTTAGAATTGAAATTAAATTAAGCCTAACAATGTAATTTCATGTTCCAGGGATGGTAACAGTTTTTTCTAACCGCCTGGGGTGGCACAATATGGAACAGTTGCTCTCCCAGTTTCAGAGTCGCCTTATGTTTGGTGTCCAAAGGGAACTGTGTGACCTGGTTCGGATATCTCTGCTAAATGCACAGCATGCCAGAATTCTTTATAATGCTGGCTTCATCACGGTGGCTGATCTTGCTAAAGGAAATACTGCTGAAGTAGAAGTTGCTTTGAAGAATGCAGTACCATTCAAAAGGTGAGACGTTCAGCCGGTTGTCTACCTGGTTACGTTTTTAGGTGCAGTCCTTTCTACTGTAAATGGTGTTAACAGGTATTCAGTCTTGACTATATGGTTCCCAGAGTACTTCTAATGAATTAGAGTATGTGATGGTTACAGGATAAGTTGGGGAGTCTTGGGTGCTGTTCTTCACTTTTCTCTGACCAACTGCATAAAGTCCTTTATCTCTTAGAGTATGTTGACATTTCAATAAAATATCCAGGCTTGGCATGTCAGTTAACTTGGGCTATGGGCTATAACAGTGTTTCTCAACCTTTTTTTTAATAAAGTACCCCCCCCCCCCAAAAAAAAGAACCCCCAGACCCTACAGTTTTCAGACACACAGGTTTTTTTTCTACAGTTGCAACACATTTGTTTAAACAACTTAATTGTAGCTGGGTGGGTGATGAAAATTTTGCGTGTAAAAAGTACAAAAATAATAAAACACTGTAAAACTTAAAACAAAAATTCAGTTTTCTCCAAATTTCAGTTCTGTTGATGTACCTCCCAGACTTCTCTCGAGTACCCCTAAGAGTACTCATACCACTGGTTGAGAAACACTGGGCTATAAAATGCAGTGTAGATGTCCGGACACAAGCTGAGTCTGGGCTCTGGGATGCTCCCCACTTTTTCAGGTCCCAGAGCCCAGGCTGTAGTTAGAGCTCAGATTGCACAGAAGTTTTACAGCCCCACAGCTCAAGTCCTGTAATCCTGAGTCAGCAGAGCCAGGCCAGTCACGAGTATTTTTATTGCACTGTAGACTAACTCTGAGTCCTTGTTTCAACTCCTGTTGATCAGAAATGATATTTCTTTACTCATCAGGGATATTCTAATTAATCGTATGTTGCAACATAGTCTGAGATTCTCTACTAGTGTTATGTTAGAACAAACTACTAGTACAAAATATTATAACAATTTTAGTGAACAACTGTAAGTTTGTGAGCTTGTCTGTCAGCAGAAGGAATTCCAACGATAGAAACTCAATTCAATTTTGCATGTGCTAAAGAGTCATCTTAAGAAATGTACAGACACCTCCATAATTATTTGAATGCAAGTTGTCACTTGAAGAGACTGCTAATAATTTTACTGGTGTAATTCCACTGTGCTTTGTTAGGAGTTTGTGAAATTTGTGCTTGTGGTACCTTTTTAAACTGAATCATTGGCCAAATTAAACCTGTAATAAAGCAAAAGTTTATGTCCATTCAAAAAGTAATCTATACAGAATATTACTCTTGTGAGAATTCTGTGCTACTGTGCGTGCACAGGATTTATGTCTGCTACAGATTGCTTTACTTCCCTGCCAAAAAAAAAATCACTTTCTCATGGGGAAGCAAATGGAAGCCACAAGAGCGATCATGTGGTCCTCCCCACCAGTATGTTTTAGGTGCAGAATGGTAAATGATGGAGGTATAAAATGGGAGTAGGGAAGACCAGACTGGCTCCTACCCTGTGCCAGGCTCAGGTGCTAGTCCCAGCTGGGCTGGGGAGGACAGGATGACTTATTCTCTTGCACAGTATCTGGGGCTGGGTCAGACCCACCCTCTGATTTCTCTCCCTGATGCATGAAGCTATGCAAATTGCCCCCTGCGCTTCCTGCACCTATCTTTCCTCAGTTGCAGGAGGAGGGAAGGATCCCCCTTCCATCCACCCCCCTGCATCTAGACCCTTTCCTACCCAGACCTCCCACCAAGACTCTCACCTCTCCCACACTTAACACCCATCCTCAATGAGCCCCACTCCCCCTGCACCTGGACCACCCTGATGAGCCACCCACTCCTAGATCCCCACCCCACCAAGCCTCAACCAACTACACCTGGATCACCACAACATTGAGCCCTACTCCCCCAGCATCTGGAATCCCTGACACCCAGATTACTCTGCAAAGCTCTATGCCCTCAAACTCAGGA